AAGGAGTTAAGTGAAAGTCAGGGCTGTGTGTAGGGAGGGTGGCTGCCTAGAGGTCTAACAGATGTTGTGCCTGTCCTGGGAGTTAACTTAATTTTTATCTTAACTGGAGAGTCCAGTAGCAGCAGCAGCACACTGGCAGAAAATTAGTAGTCTGTCCTTCTATCTAAGGAGCAGAGGGATTTTTCCCTTTTGAGAAGTCATATCTCAGGTTCTTATGAGCTATGATGGTGAGCAGCTGTTAAAATCCACCTTTGGTTGGTGAGGCAATAACAGCTGCTAAGAAAACCTGGGGTTGATGGCAAAAAGATAGTTAACAATGGGGAATTAATTTGAAAGAAAAGGGTATGGATACAAACGGGTAAAAGGGTAATAGGAGAAAATCCGTGAAAACTCAAGAGATGAAAGCTACGAGTGGGAAATGAATCATAGGTGGTAAGGCTGTGGAAGAGCCTGGAAAAAACATATTGATACTTTCTAAAGCAGTATCACTTAGAGCTGCATTGCTCAGGAATGACTTTTGTGAATATGTTCTTAAAAACCTCCAGTTGTGGATGTTTCACAACATCCCTATGTAAAGAGAAAAGTGAATGAATTAATGTTTTAAGGGCTTCTTCAAAGTCTCTTCTGCATTGATAGTTTAGAGTGCCTTTGGACTGTCCAGGCACTGTCAGAGTGCCTTTGGACCATTCAGCTTTGGACTGTCCTTTCTTCATAAGAAAACATGCTTATAAAGTGAGATTGGGGGGTAAATCAAGCCTGTAGGTATCTGCCCAGTCTGCTGTTCACAAAGAAGATCCTGTATGAGGCAATCCCTCGGATCAACAGCCAAGAAGGGAGCAGTTCCCTCCCCTGGTTTATCGACCTGTGTAATGAAAGAAGGTTTACTGGGGCCCCGAATAAAGGAAGGAGCAAAAGCTTCATTCTTGGCTGGATTCATTTCACGTCTCTGTGGTCTAGGTGAGACTGCATGTGGAAGAAGGGTGGAGTGTGGGCACTCCCATATTTACATACTGTGGAAGGGCACTGGTGTTTGCCTGTGCAGAACGCATGACTGGGCTCTCCCGGAGCCTTCTGATCTCGCAGCAGCAGCAAAACCCCCATGTAACTGCCTGGTCCATGGGACCCAGGATCCAAAACCAGGCTGCAATAGTGGGCAGAGCCAAAGCTTTCCAAGCTGTTGGCTCACGATATGCTTTGCTTCCTCAGCAGCGTGTCTCCTGTTTTGCAGCCTTCTCCTCTGACATCAGGGAGCTGGACAAATAGATTTTAGTCAAGTCATTGGTAACATGAAACCGTGAGCTTAGAATGCACTGTGAGGTGTTCCTAAGGCTCTGGTGGGAAGAAGTGGTTGAGCAGAAGGCACTGTTCACTCACTGGTGAAGGTTTAGAGTTGGTACTGAAGTTAAATTTTTCTTAAAAGTAAGTTCTTATAATCTCCAGGCTTTTGTTAATTAAAAAAGGAGTGTTCCCATGTAAGCATTTAAAAAAAATTAAATCTATAAGGGATGTAACACTTGAATGCTTGTAGCACATGTGGAGCCCAGAACTTGGAAGTGGAACCAGGTCTGGACACAAATGGAATTGACTTAATTGATTTTTTTTTTAACTGCCAAAGAGAAACTCTGAAAGTGTAATAGTATTAAAAAAGAAAAATCACTTCAGAATTGCTTCAGTGATTAAAAAGGGCAGTAATACCAGAAGGAAGCAATTAGCTTATGCCACAGATGCATATTTGTAATCACACATGGGGAAATGGGCTTTAAGATTTTTACAAGATACATATTACATTACTCTGCACACCTTTAAATTGGTAGGGCCCATCCTTTTAATAACGAAGCAGATGTGCTTTATAGTAGAGAATGTACGAGTCCTCCCGAATTGCCCATAAAAGTGCTGTTTACTTAACAGGTGAAGGGAAATGGATTGTGAGTTTGACAGAGCAGGAAACTGGTCTGGGAGCCTTAACTGCTGGGGAAGCACCTTTTCTTTTTCCAGTCAGTTGGGAATCCTGCCAGCAACCCAGTGGAAGATAAGAAATTTTGTTCTCGTGAATGAGCCTGTTAGATTTTAATGCTAGCTATGCCTCTGCTTTGAAAGAGACAGGAAAGATCAAACACGAGGGACAAACTCCAGTCCTTTCTTTTCCCCCTTGTGGAAATGCAGGAGTACAACGGGTTGTTAACTTGAGCCTGATAAAAGCACATCTTGAGCTCGGAGAGAGGTCTGTCTCTGGCAGCCCATTTCTGATAGTGTTCAAGCTTGACTCAGCTGTCCAAGTGTCTCAGGTTGATGAAAAGCAAAGTTGCCTTAAAAAAAGCACTGTAACTAACACTCCACACAGCTGACTTTTCATCTTGGGCTTTCCCTGCCAGATTTCTACAAATCCCATTTTCCAGTTTGCTTTGCAACACTGTCTCTGCTGTGGGAGCAGAGAACTGGTGGCAGACTCATGAAGTCTCTCCTTGATTCTGCACTGCTAACTGCAAAGACCTTATGGGAAAATTTACCATTGTTCCAAAACTTGTGTGGAGCTGCCATCCTTGGCAGCAGGAACGGAATCTTGTTAGTTATTAATATTTTGAATAAGTCCGTCCTCAGGCTTTTCTTTTGCACAGTGGCTAACAAACAGGTGGTACAAAGGTGTGTGAATTGCCTCAAACTAATCCCTGGCCCTGCTGCATGGCCTGAACTAGAGCTCAATCAAGTGCTGCACGAATGGTCATTACATGCCAGAGTTGTGTTCATTTGGGGTGGAAAGGAGCATGTTGCTGTTACATATCTCCTGAGCTTGTGCAGTATGGCCTGGAAACCCTGGGCAGGGATGGAGGACCTGGTCTGCTGTCAGGTGCCAGGAAAAGAAGAGTCCCTGCCCCAAACACCTCCCTACCTTGACTAGTGGGATGCTTAATTGGCGTGTTGGCATGAAGCAAAAAGAGAACACAGTGAGGGAGACCAGCGGCTGCTTGTCCCTTTGTTCTCTGCTGATGGTTTGCAGCAACCTTAGAATTAGTTTCAGGACAGTCCTCTGGTGGGGACCTGTTGGGCAATTGTTGGAAATGGGCATTCCATGTAAGTTGTAAGGGCGGAGAGCTCTCAGCTGGGAGGAGGTGCAAACACTCGCCCTGTCTGAGGCTGTGAGGGATTGTGTCTGAAAAAGAAAGTGAAGGTGGTGCTGGCGTCAGGCTGAGGACAGTAACGAATGGGGGAGGCTGTGTCTTGGGAACTTTTCCTGTTTTTAGGACGTGGTCAGCCCCACTCTGTTTTCCTGTTTCCTGTGAGGTATCCTGTTTGCCTGCTCAGGGTTGTAATTCTCTGCTCAGTATCTGGCACGAGGCTTGCAAACCGTCCTCTTGTGACTCCTGCAGCTTGTGTATGGTGTGCTTCAAAGAACCTGAAACCCAACATTTACAACTATTAGGAAGTAAAGACTGGAGGTGTCGGGTAGGACTGGTTTCACCTTTGTTTGGCCAGCCTGCAGGTGGGAGGTCTATACACCTTGACCCAGGGAACTGAAGGCAAAAGTCTCCCTCCTTGCCCGCTCTGAGATGTCACATCACCGCAGCTCTGCCCACTGTGTGCTCAGCAACACTCTGGGCTACAGTCACCTCACCCACTGGTGTGGAGCTTGCTTTGGGCAGCAGGGCCCCTCTCTGCTGGTCAGCTCTGTACCTTCGGCAGTCTCTGTGGTGGGGTGTGTGGGGATCAGGAACTTCTTTTGCTCTCCAGATGTGCCAGTTGTGTTTCTGGAGTACAGTTGAGCTGCTGATCCCTCAATTCTTCTGGCAGTGATGAAATTCTAATTCTCATTGCACTGCTGGTGCAGAGCTGGTTGTCTGCGCTGTGCTGGAGGAACGTCAGGCTCTTTCTTACCTGTGCTGCAGCTCCCTCCCTGAAAGAGGACAGATCTGTGCTGATGGGGAGGATCCAAAGCTCAGTGTTGGTGAGGATTCAGCTCCTCGTGAGCTCTCTGGCTTAGGCACTGTCAAGGCTGAGGTGCTCTGGGATTTGTGACTGCAGCATGTGCTGTACCAACACTTGTACCTAAATCTTGACATTTCCAAATGAAGATATCCCTGGCTGGTGAACAAGACTGTTCTAGGTCTCTGTATTTCCCTTTGCTGTGAGCTGGATACAGGCTGTTGTATAAGCTCAGCGTGAGGAAATGGATATTTAGATCCCCAGAGATGCTGTGTGCAGAATACAATCAGCTTAAAAACAGCCAGTACTGTTCTATCACGGAGATGAATATTATGTGGATTGAGTAGCTTCATGATGCCAGACTGGTAATTAAAACGGGGGCAGCAGGGATCTGAGTGACTCAGTACTGAATCCGTGTCCCAGGATTGTACACGGGATACCATCTGTTGATGAGGAGCTGCCTTGCTGCAGCTATTAAAAATGAAAGAAACCGGTGTTTTAGCATAATCTGGTTGCCAAGATGGCAGCTGAGGCATTAGCAGGGCTGCACATCCAATGTTGCAGTTTGGGTAATCACCGCTGTGCTTCTCCACTCCCAGGGATTTCAGTCGGAGGCCCTGCTCTTCAGTCCGTGTTGCGTTGCCATCTGTAAAACAGCGGCTGTGCTCAACCTCTGAGGAGGCCTCAGGCTAGTGGGAGGTAAAGGGATCAGTGTCTGCTGGAGGGAAATGGTTTTCTGCTTCCCCTCTAGATGAGAGTGAAGCCATTACTTATGCATGATGCCCAATTAGCAGCAATTGCTGCTCGCTGTTGTTGGTGGGAGTGGCTGTGGTAGGCGGCCAGGACGTACATGTGGCAATTACACATGTGGTTGTGGTGTGTGGTTGGAAAAGAGGCGTAGGAAGTGTAAGATGTTTCATGCATTACATAGATCAGATTTCCAAATAATTGGCTCTCTTCGAACAGTGCACTTAGAGATGAGATGTGCAAAATAGCTTTCCTTCCATTAAGCATTTCATGCTCAGGTAACAAAGAGCACAGCTCCTTCACACGCTCAGGAAGCTGAAAGTCAGGCTGTGAACACTGTGCTGTTCCTACAGATTCCCTCTGAGGAGCTGTGACCTTGAACATTTCCAGTTGGAAAAAGTTGCTCTTTCTTTTGGGAAGAGGTTTAGTAGGATCTTGCTTTGGTGGCGTTTGGTGGTGATAAAATGAGCGTTTCAGCACTAGAACCAAGTTTAAGAAGATACCTAAAAACATGTAGGTTTTTTCTGATTTTGTTTTTCAAGAGTGGAGAGTCACTTGGGCTGGTTCATTGCATGGCTGGCAGGACCAAGACCAGCAATAAACAGTCTCTGCAGCACTGAAGCGTTAAGGCAGAGAGCTGCAGGGCAATAACCTGCTGTACCAGTCTGGGGGCAGCCAGCCCTGCTCACTTTTTGGGCTTTGGTGGTAGTGACACATCACCTGCCCGTGGGCTGGGGCTGTTGGTTCAGGAGGTGACAGCAAAGGGGGCAACGCAGAGCTTCTCAGTGTCAGAGCAGTGAATGAGCTGTTCTCTCCTAAGTGGTGTTGGAGCTGCATTTAGAAACAGCATAGAGCTGGGCAAGTTCTCTGCCTACTACAGCAGAGCTGGGAGTGGGCAGGAGTTGTTTAAATTAAGCACACATTCATATTTTTGTCCTTTTCCCATCTGACATGGTAGACCCGCCCACGGTGCTGATTATCGCCCTTAACGAGGTGCTGTTTGCTTTGGAGCTGGTGCTGGTTGCAGGCAGGAGGCTCCTCCTCACCCCAAACCAACGGCTGGGGGTGCTCAGGTGTGTTGCTCTTCTGACCTCCTAAGCGTGCCACCACACCTTGGCATGGCTGGGAAAGCTCCTGGAAAAGCTTCCATTTTCCTCTTCTGGCTGAAATTGTGGATCTGTCTCTCTCACACTGCTTGTCATAAACAGGGAGGTAGCTGGACCCTTGGGTGGTTTGGGCACTCCTAGCCGTGTTTGGGCAATGCCTGTCTCTTGGCAAATATTAGTAGTTACTTGGGAAAAACTGTGTTCAGTTTTAGTCTGGCTGAAAAGTTAAGTCTTTCCTGATCCTTCAGAGCTCCCAGGCTTTGGGTGCCTGAGGTGTTGTGTAATGGAGATGTCTCGTTTAACAAACAGTGCTGGTGTTTTCACTTTTGGGAAGAGGCAGGTCATCACCACGCTGCTTCTTCAGGAAGGCAGAGCTGACCATGTGTGGCTGAGCCTCTGCTTCACCTTGAATGGCCAGCGCTGCCTTCTGGCTCTGCAAAGCCATAAAGGGCAAAGCAAGGTCCAGCCTGCTTTGTTCAGCTGCTTATAACCTGACACCCAGGTTGTTGTCAGCATTTTGATTTTTAAATAGTTGCCACACTGTCAGGAAGAAATAATGCTGTGACTCTGCAGCCAGCTGTACAGAGCTGTCTGGCAAACTCTCTGTCCCTATGGACAGCATCCTGAGCAGTGGGGTTTCAGAGCGGCCAAAAGTGGAAATTATCTGTACCTGCAGAAAAAGTAATGGGAAGAAGTGTGTTCCCAGGGTTGGAGGGGTGAGCTTCTCAAACCACAGGTCTGAAATGGATTGCTTGCTTTGGTCCCCTCCTTCCATCTTCCTCTTTGGATTGCTCACTTAGTGCTTTTTAAGAACAAAGCCTTGGCAGCGACTGGCTGCAGCGAGTCCAGTTCCCTAAAAATAGTTGATGCAGAAGGATCAATTGCATTGTCTCTGTAAGTGCTTTGAGGTGGGTCTGTCAGTTCCTTGGGTCTGTTTGTGCCCTAATGTTCCTGATTGCTTCCTTGAGACTTGGGTTACAGTACAAGTAATTCCAGTACACACTCAGAGCATCCTTGGCTTGCTCTGAAGGTGACAGAGTGCACGAGAACAGCCTGGCCCATGTGCAGTGGTGAAGATCTTGGAATACTTGCATCAGTTGCAGACAAACAGGCAGCCTTGCGTGTGTTGTGGCTCCATGAAAGACCTGGGGATTCCCCGTCTGATGCAGTTGGGCACATGAATGTTTTGCTGCTCAACCCCTGTGTTTGGACCTTGTGGAGTGGTAGTTCTGCATCTGTAACCACGTTTGTGTCTCTGCAGCCCGTGGAGGCCACAGATGATGCCTTTTGGGACCAGTTCTGGGCAGACACAGCCACTTCAGTGCAGGATGTCTTTGCCCTTGTACCAGCTGCAGAGATCCGAGCGGTGAGAGAAGAGTCGCCTTCCAACTTGGCAACTTTGTGCTATAAGGTAAGGTCGGTGCTGTCTTACTCCTTGGTGCTGTGCTAGCAGGGAGGTGTCCCTGGATCAATAGCAGTGTGGCTCCCAAGGGGAGACAGGTGCCATCTTATTTCCTTGTACCACACAATGTGCTTGTTTGTCCCTGTCTCCTCCTAAGACTAACTCTCTGCCCTTCCTCTCGTGGAAGACACAGACCACAGCTGGTGTTTGATCACTTTGGAGCCTTTTTCCTCTTGTTCCCTTCCTGTATTTCACCCTGTCCTCTTGGGTCTTGCCTGTATAAACTGCTTGCTGCTCAGGGGACTTTGTACCTAGGCTGCATATTTGTGGTGAGGCTGATACATCCGATTCCTTGTCTGCATCAAATTGCATCTCACCATGCACCAGTCTGGCTTCAAGCTGATAAATCCCAGAGGGATGTGGAGACTGTCACTGCACAAGTTCGAGGGAGATCTTAAGACCTTTTGTCCTTCTCCTGTGATAATGGAACATTCCTAATGCTGCTTCTGATGTTGCTGCATCCTTGTGTGGAGCGCATGGGACATTGAGTCACATTTCCTACCCTGCCAGGTTTGGCAAATTGTCAAGCTGGTGAGCAACAGCCTGAGACTTATTCTGTCTGGAAAAGTGCAGGTGTTAATAATGCTCCTGATTTAAGCCATGCAAAGAGTAGGCTTGAATTTGTATTTGAAAAGCACTTGGAATGGCATTTTTCCAGTTTTAAATGGTTGTTGCCATCCTGTTTTTCTTTCCTGTACAAAGTGTGAATGAGACCTACTGAATCATAGTGAAGATACCTCTGACTGTGAATTGCACCTCGGACAAATGCATGTAGTGGATAATTGAGAAAAAATACAAGCACGAGGGAAAATGGAATGATTTTTCCCTAGTATTGTCTTCTGGCAATCTGCAGTTTGGGACTTGAGAAGGGTTTAGGAGACCTGTAGTGACTACGTAACCCCTTTGACTCTGTTTCTTCTTTCTCCCCAAACCAAGACTAAAACATGTGCTCTTCTCCCTGTTGAAAACAGATGTGTTGTGTTGGGAGACTTTGTGACTGCAGGACTGTTTCTCCATGAGCCCTAGATCTTGGGGTATCAGTGTCACAGGAGCCTGCAGCCTCCAGAAGTGCCTTTGCCAGGCTGAGGGCCCTGACCTGTGCTGAGTGCTGTGTTCGTGGGGAGCACGACAGTGTGGCTGAGCTGTCGCTTACAGTCGTGGCTGGAGACTCAGGCTGTACAGTCATAAATATGCCTGAAGAAATCGTTCAGCTCAGTCAGAGTAGTGTGTGACAGCCTGGGACAAACAGCACTTAAACACCCATTAATGCAGTGACGCAGGCTGGCAGAGTCAGTGACCCAGGCAGTCTGCCATGAAAATAAGCAGGGGCACATGACCTCATGAATTAAAAAGCAGCAAGGTGAATCCTTGCTAAATGTTTTGGGTTTCATTTCCTTCTATTTCCCCTTGGGATGAGGGAGTAAGAGCGAGTGGGTGCAGCTGTTGGGGGAAGGAGGCTGCCTTTTTCTGTCTGTGGGTAAAACCTCCTGCCACTACCTCCTGGGGCTGTGGTTGCTGCCTGGTGAGACCTGCATCTATTCTGAAAATCCCAGTGACTCTCCACTGGCAGTTTCAACAGCGATTGGATGGGCTGCAGTCTCAGCCCAGAAGCTCTTTGCAGAACAGCAGTCCTGTTCACAGGGACAGTGGGGAAACCCCCCTCTGTTGCAGGACTTTGACAGACTGGGGGCTGTATCCCTTCACTTAACAGTTACAGGCAGCTTAGCTCCCACCTCCAGAGTCAGGAGAAGTCCCTGCTGTAATCACACCAGCACAGACAGATCTGTCAGACTGTGTTCCTGTGTGATCATCCCCTGCCAGCACCTCACACTGTGCAGCACAGTGCTGCTGCCTTGGTCCTGCTGCATCTCGGGTGCTGTGGCTGATTAATCTGATCTGCCCTTTTCAGTGTGTGGTGTTAGGGAGCAGTGCTGGAAGGAGCCTTCTGGTGCTCTGGCTGTGTCACGTGGCACCACACGTGTGCTGCATGGATTAGCCCTGGCATTTGAGGTCTCTTGCAGTGGAACAGTAGAAATTCAAGGAAGGTCTTTTTAAGATCATTAACCCTATTTCTGCAGTTTCAAACAGCAACACTGCCTGTACCATTAGACTGAGAGAAAATGGACTCCTAGTAACGGCTTATAACTCTATGTGAGGGTGTCACCAGCAGGACAGACCTGCCCAGCTCTTGCTACTTTGTGCCCAGGTTAATAATACCTGCCTTGGTTTTGTTTCCTTCAGGCTGTGGAGAAGCTGGTGCAGGGAGCAGAGAGCGGCTGCCACACGGAGAAGGAGAGACAAATCGTTTTGAACTGCTGCCGACTCCTCACCCGTATCCTGCCTTACATCTTTGAGGACCCAGACTGGAGAGGCTTCTTCTGGTCAACTGTCCCTGGGGCTGGCCGAGGAGGGGTCTGTTACTTGGCACTTATTCTTTCTGGAGGATGATGGGGAGGCTGCAGTGAGGAGACACTTATGTACATTTGGGGGCAACTTTATTGCAGTTATTTCTATTTGGTCAGAAATTAGGTGTCATCTTCTAAATTCTTTCCCTTCCTTTGATTCTTGCTGTTCTTCCTCTCACCCTCAGCTGCTTTGTTCAGCACAGGTTGCTGCATCATCTAAATGTTTCACTTGGGTGTGTAGCTGTTGGAGAGTGCTGGTATGTGAGTGAAGTCCTCTCCAGTATAACTGGAGGTGTGAATTGAAATGAACATGAGAGCTGTACTAAAAGCTGTGTGACTTTCCTAGACTGAAATGACCTTGTTCCATTACCCGAAGTTGATTTAAGATTCAAGTCAAACTGTAGCAGGGTGTTGTTTCCACTGGTTTTACAATGTCACATTTAAAGCAAACAGTGCCAGAAAAGCTCTGGGCATCATGACTCAATACCCTGCTTATGAGCTGAGTAATAAATTTTAACCAGGGGCCTAGCCTGAGAGATGAAGCCCACAACTGAGCAAGAGTGGTTAAAGAATTAGGTATTCAAAACTACCCCAACATTCCAGGTGAGGCCACCCCAGTGCAGAGCAGAGCCAGACAATCCCCTCCCTGACCCGGCCGACGATGCTGGGCCTGATGCCCCCCAGGACACTGTTGGCCCTCTTGGCTGCCAGGGCACTGCTGACTCATGGCCAGCTGGCCATCGACCAGGACCCCCAGGTCCCTTTCCCAGCACTGCTTTCTAGCATCTCATTCCCCAATCTGTCCATACATCCAGGGTTGCCCCATCTCAGGGCCAGAATCTGGCACTTTCCCTTGTTGAACTTCATGTGGTTTTCCAGTCCTCCAATTTGTTGAGGTCTCTCTGCAGGACCTCCCTGCCTTCAAGGGATTCAACAGCTCCTCCCAGTTTTGTTTCATCTGCAGACTTGCTTAGTATGCCTTCCAAGTCCTGCATCCAAGTCATTTATGAAGCCATTGAAGAGCACAGGGCCCAAGATGGAGCCCTGTGGAAGCCCACTAGTGACAGGTCACCAGTCTGATGTTACCCCATTCATTACTATCCTCTGTGCTTGACCTGTGAGCCAGTTGCTCACCCACCACATGATGTGTTTATCCAACTGTATTCTGGACATTTTGTCCAGAAGGATTCTGGTTGGTACAGTACAAACTTGCCCCTTGTGCTGCGTCTGCCTGTCACCTCTAATCTGCTTCACCTGAGGCCACTTCAAGGGGAAGTTCTGGGTGGTGGAAAGGGAAGTCTTTGCTAGTCCTGCTCTGTGATCTGGTTGATTGGGAGGGTGGTGGTTGCCCATCCTTTCATCTCTGCAGGGGCCAGGGAGTGCTGGAGAGGCTTAACAATGGAGCAGCTCGTTTTGGGAAGCAACATGCAGGGTGCCTGGTGCTTTGAGCCAGCCCGGCTGCTGTTACTCCTATGTTTCTGCTTTGTTCAGCCCCTAGAAAAGAGAGTTTCTCAGCCTCAGAGTGCTGGGGTCACCCCAAGGCAATCCAACCCAGTGCATGTGTGCTGGACTGGGGAACCCTCCTGCTTGTTGTGCCTCCTGAGTGTGGGTGGAGCTGTTTTGGTTCAGTGTGCTTGGTGTGCTCCATCATTTAACCATATGCAGCTGTAGGGCTGGGATAACAAATACAGCCCTGGGATGTTAGGGAAGCTGAGGTCGTGTCTAATCTAGAGACAACAACTTTGCTGATTGAAGGCTGATTTCTCTCAGGGAACTGAAGATGATGGTATGGACCATTAGTAAATATGTCTGTGATTATCCTTCACCTGCTTCACGATGCAGTGATGGATGGCAGAGCTCCCAGAGCATGGATCCACTCTCTTAAGGGAGTCTGTATTGGGTTCAGATCTCCTGGTTTGCTATGTGTCACCCATTTTGGATGTGGTGGTACCCAGAGCCTGCTGGGATTTTTTCTGGCAGTTGGGGTGATCTCAGCAAAGATCGTTCTTGGAAAAGAAATCCCCTTGCACCCTAATGCTTGTCATTTCACCTCTGACCATGAGCCCAAGCAAAACCATCTTTGCTGGCTCTATCCACCCTCTCTGTGCCTCTCCTTGCATCCGGGATCTGTTTGCGGGATCCTTCCTGCTGTCACCGTCACAGCCACACAGACCATTATCTCTGGGAGCTGCCTGCTGTGATTGAAGAGCCGTGTGTTGTGCACAGGCTGACAGAGGCCTGGCTGAGGTAGATAAGCTCCTGCCATTCCTGCTCCCTGCCTTTCCCTCAAGCACCAGTGTGTGGTGGGGAAGGCCTCCCATCCAGGATGTTCTTTGACAGGCAGGATCTGGCAAGGTTTCCCGTGGCAACAGCTGCAGAGGAGTAGCCATGCATGGTTTGAGTGATTGCTTTGAACGCTGGAGATGGCAAATCCTCTCTGCTGTTGTGCCTTCTCTGCCGTGGCGGGCTGAGGTGGCCCTTGTGTGATGCACGGAGCCTCTGCTGGTTCTGTCACCTCCAGTTCTGGGGAGCCCATGTGGGACTTTGAGAGGTTTTACACCTTATTACTGCTGGTTGGCTTCTTCCTTTTGATGGCTCTGTGCATCATCTGAATCACCCTCCTTTGTGACTGTAAAATCCTTCTCTCTGTAAATGCTTCCCTTTCCGTTTGTCTTCAGTAAATCAACCATCTCCACGTGGCAGGGTCCATCCAATGCTACTCTTCTGTTACGTCTCCAGGCCTTTGTCTGCTCAGTTTGCTGTCATTAAAGAGCTTGTTCCTGTTTAGTCACCACCATCCAGGGGAACATTTCTTTCCTGTGCTGACTGGGTTTTTGTGTTTCTCCTTCCTGTTCCTTTGCAATGTCTGGCGTCCCTGTGTGTTTTTGGGGAGTGTATGTTCTCTTGCTGTGTGATACTGGTGTTACTGTGTGCTCTTTGCTATCCCTGGGCTGACAATGCTGTTCTGTTTCTCACCTCAGGGAGATGAAGATGATGAAAATGCTCGGCCACTGGCTGAGTCATTGCTCCTTGCTGTCACTGATCTGCTCTTCTGCCCCGACTTCACTGTGCAGAGCCACCGGAGGAGCACGGTGGTGAGTTAAACCATGAGATTATCTGCATAGGGGCAGATGAGCTGCATGGTGGGGGGTATCCTGGAAAACTCCAGCAGCTTCCTGCAAACCTGCAGGCAGGAAAATATGGAGTTGCCAAGATTGAACCCACAGTGTCTAATATTGATCAGCATATTGCGTTCACTGTGTGGTGTTTGTGCCTTATAAAACAGGTGTTCTGAGACAGCTGGATGAGTCCCAAATGGAGTGGCTGGCAATTACCCCCACAATACAGCTCACCCATCAGGAAAAGGTGGTTGTGCTGGAAAACAATTGCTCTTCTGTTGTTGCCAGCAGAGCAGAGACCTTTAGCACCTTGTTCCTTTCTTTGGCAGTTTGGTGCAGCCTGGGGCAGGAAGCATCTGTTTGCCTGAATGAGTAGATGGTCTTTGTTGTGTCTTTCCACCTCCTCTCCTTCTTTATATCATGGCAACAAAGACAAACCTGTTCTGATCCGTATGGTCTATGCTTCAGAGGAGTTGCCTGAAGCAGGGATCTCCTACCAGGTGTGCTAAGAACAGGTTATGGTGCATCTACCTCCCTCCCTCCCTCCCATCAGTGATTCTGGTGGTTTTTGTAGATCTGGTTTATAAGCAAAAGTGGGCATCGCTGCTTTTGGTGTAGCTCTGATGTAAACTAAAAATGAGCATGCTAAACCCCTGTGTATTTGATGGCTGCAAAATTCCCTGACAAACCTGAGGTACTAAATTGATTGCTTGAGGTTTCTGAGTAGTACAAAGAGTGTTGAAATCTGTCACCTGAGGGTGAAGGGGCAAGGCTGGATCAGAGCTACCCCTGTGCTTAAGAGTAAGTTGGAGTGGGGCTGAAACAGATGGACTTGCTGTCTACTGTTGTCACTTGGGATGGATTGCACGAGTCGGGGTGACAATGTTTATTCCTGGGAGAGCCTCCCCCCACCACCTGCACCTGTGATTTTCACTTGGCAGCAGCCAGACTGGTTTTTCAGTGCTCTGGGCAAGTAGAATGAGACACTGAGATTGTGAATGATTTATGTTCCTTGCTGTTGGCTGTCTGTCTGCTGCCTGCAGCCTCTGTAGCCTTTGCCAAACTGGCTTCCCTCCCTGGGCCTGGTCTGACTTCAGGTTAGGAGAGAGATGGTACCACCACCTCATGTTCATGGCAGAGCATGTGACCCCAGAGATACAGGTCATGGTGGATATTTGCTGAAGCAGCATTTGAGTAAAGAGGAGGAGTAAGAACTGTGAGGGAATGGGCAAAGGAGAACTGAGACTCACCCATGTTGTTTTGCTCTTTGTCCTCCCACTGAAGTCAGCCCTTATGGCTAGAAATGGATGCTCCCTCCATCATGCACAGTGCCTGCATCTCTCTTACCCCTTACTCACCAAGGCTGAGCTCTTTGAAGACATCAGCACCTGCTTTTTTTAGGCATGGGAAGATGCTGCACAGACCCAACTGTCTGGATGCTTCTCTGCTAGTTTCTTTGGTAGAGAGAGTGGCTGAACTGCCTTGGATACCACTAATGCTGCCAACTCTGGCTCTTGCCTTCTGTGGTCCAACCTCTTATTTCTCCCACAGGACACAGCAGAAGATATCCACTCCATTGACAGCTGTGAGTACATCTGGGAGGCAGGAGTGGGCTTTGCCCACTCTCCACAGCCTAACTACATCCATGACTTGAATAGGTAAGAGCTATCAAAGGCAGAATGGAAAGAAACTGGCTCAGGAGGGGGAGATCTGGGGGAGATGAGCTCTTAGCTTCTGCGGGTATCTGTGATTCCCAAGGGACTTTCTGCTTGCTCCTTTCTGAGCTAACAGGACTGGCAACATAGAAAAAACCTCAGCTGACCTTTTAAATAGCTTTTTGTATTATGATATGGGAGTCAGAGTGTCTGCAACAGGAATTAGATAAACGTTGCTGTTCTGGAAATGCCTGGGAGCTCTGTACTGGATTTCTCTTTTTGTAAGCAGCAGTTCTGCCGAGCTTTGTGCCAGTGAAAGCTGTATTGCTTAGGAAATGAAATGGGCTTAGGTCTCTCTGGGGAGGATTTTCTAGATAGGACTGAGCCTTCCTTATGTGTTGTTGTGGTAAGTGATTGTGCCTCCTGCTCCACACCTTGACAACTTCTTCCTTCCTCTCAGGACAGAGCTGCTGAAGCTGCTGCTGACCTGTTTCTCCGAGGCCATGTACCTGCCTCCCTCCTCAGACAGCAGCAACACCAACCCCTGGGTACAGTTTTTCTGCTCTACGGAAAACAGGTGAGGGTGAAGGGTGGGGCCCGGGTGCCAGGGGGAGAAAAACCTTTAGATCTCCTTCACGGAGTGTATTGGTAATGGGGGACCATAGGACTTGCTACCTCCAACATCCAGGGGCTGTAGCCTGCTGTAGACTGCATTCCTTTGGGATGGTGGCGTGGCACTGCAGCCGGTGGTTGTGTTGGATGAATGCCGCCCTCTAGTGACATTGTCTCCTCTGGGACTTCCAACTCCTCAGGTGACACTCACCCTGGGAAGCACAGACCCAGCTGAAGGCAGACAGTTTTGTCTTTCCAGGGCCTAGAGAGCTTTGAGGTCCTTTCCCCTTTTCACACTGCTGCACAGGATTCCTCTGGGAGGCCGCATGGCCTTTTTCATCTCCCCTTCCCTCTCAGCTGTAGTCCAGGAGACCAGCTTGGCTCTTGTCTCTGGGCTGCTCAGTCATGGGTCACTGTCCCAGGTTAAAGAAGATGATGGTATTTTATCATGACTTCGGGGGGAGAGGGATGCCTGTCCCTCCCTAAAGGCAGCACCTTTATTTTCCTGCTTCTGCCTTCTGAAAGTGTTTTCTCCTCCTCAGACATGCACTCCCACTCTTCACCTCTCTCCTGAACATTGTCTGTGCCTACGACCCGGTGGGTTACGGGATTCCCTACAACCACCTGCTCTTCTCTGACTACCGCGAGCCTCTGGTGGAGGAGGCGGCCCAGGTGCTGATTGTCACTTTGGACTATGACAGCTCCACCAGTTCAAGTCCCACCGTGGATGGCACGACCACTGGCACAGCCATGGATGATGTGGATGTGAGTGACACTGGGGTCTGTATTTGCTGCTCTCCTGAACTCCCTGGGGTCCTCCCGCACCAACTTGTATTGAATGCTGAGCTGTGGGGCCCAGCACTGCTCCTCCCCCTGCAGTCTGCTCTCTCTAATCTGGTCCTACTTCAGTCCTGTAGGCCACTAAACACCTGTACATGACCAAAACACTGGATTTTGGTCACTGCCTTGAATAGGGAGCATGTAAGTGAAAAGCCCCTGACTTTACTATTCCCTGCGCTCTGTCTCCTTGCATTTAAAACTGGATCAGTCAGAGGAAAGCTGAAGTGAGGGACATTAGTGGTCACACTGACTTCCTGAATAAACTTTGTTGCCAGTAAGCATTTCCCTCCTTTTCTTTGAACACAGCCTCCTGGACCAGACAATCTGTTTGTGAATTACCTCTCAAGGATACACCGAGAGGAGGTAACGTGCTCCCATCCTGCGCTGTTTCCTGTCTGATTTCATGCTGATTGCATTATCCCTGGGCCCACCACAGTCTCTTTCCTGGTCTGTTGGCAGGATTTCCAGTTCATCCTGAAAGGAGTGGCTCGCTTGTTATCAAACCCGCTGGTCCAGACCTACCTGCCAAACTCTGCCAAGAAGATCCAATTCCATCAGGAACTCCTCGTCCTCTTCTGGAAACTCTGTGACTTCAACAAGGTGTGGATCTGCTTGTTGCTGGGTTTTGCCCCACCTTGTCTGGTGTGGCTCTGGCTGGACCGAGCCCCGGTGAAGGGCTGTGGTGGGTAGTTAGCAGTGGCTCTGGGGTACTGTGGTCAGCAGCACTGCTCCCTGCTGCAGGGGCTGGGGGTCTGGATGTGGGGACAGCCTATGAGGGGGGCTGCAGCTCCTGAAAGTCTGTGCTTGAGAAATTATTATAATAATCCTACAAATAACACTGGAGTTGAAGAGCTGGTGCATACACCAGGATTTTTTATGTTCTTGAGAGACTAATTAGCTCAAGAGTACCTCTCCTGAGTCCTGCAGATGATGCAGGAAACCAAATATGCTTGTGATTGTCTGAAATCCTCCCTTTTCTTCCAGAAATTCCTATTCTTTGTGCTGAAGAGTAGCGACGTTCTGGACATTCTTGTCCCAATCTTGTACTTTCTCAATGATGCCAGAGCAGACCAGTGTAAGTTGGTTGTTTTCAATATTTGGTATGGTTTGTGCTTGACAGTGGAGCTAGAATGTTTTTAAGATATTTCCTCTCTACCACTTACATGTGACAGCATCTCAAGTGTATGTTCCTGACCTTCTAAGACATGGAGTAGAGTGGTTCAGTTAGTTGGGTTTTAATGTTTCTAACAGACTAGAAGCAGGACATGATCTGTCCCATAATATAGGGAAGGGAGATTCTTCCTTAGCATGTGTTAACTCGTATTGAGTCCTCATGTTGAAAACTGTGTCCCTGCTCCCATGAGGAGGGAGAAATGAGCAATCCTCTCTTGCCTTGGGAATAAATCAGGTATAACTCTTGTCACTCTGTAGTGGAGAGAAGTCAGATCTTCCCTACTATGATGAGAGGTTTATATCAAGAATATAATGAAGAAAAACATGATCTGTCCAAGGTTTAACACTGTAGTGGCCCCATAAATGTGCTTGGGAAGGACACTGGCACTGACAACAGAGGGAGTTCTGTGGGATGTCCCTTATCAGGATAGTTTAGTCTGTGCACTATTTTTCAGTCCCATAATGTTTCTCCTCCCTCCTCACTGCCCCTCTGTCTCAGGATTCCCCTGGCCTCACTGTGACACGTGGAGTTTTTCTGGTTTTTTTTCCCCTGCAGCACGAGTGGGCTTGATGCACATTGGGGTCTTTATCCTGCTGCTTCTCAGTGGGGAGCGTAACTTTGGGGTTCGCCTGAACAAGCCGTATTCTGTCCGAGTGCCTATGGATATCCCTGTCTTCACAGGGACACATGCAGATCTGCTCATCATAGTGAGTATAGCTCCAGCAGTTCTCCTCTGACCCTCCCAGCTCCTGCTTCATACCTTCCCAAACAATTGTCCTCCTTCAGTGTACTCACCCTCCCTAGACTGGAAGCCCCCTGAGTAGCCAGAAAGTGTGTGGGATGCATCTAAGCACTGGCGGGATCTTTGCACACTGTTAACCTGAAGTGATGTGTCTGGCAGGTGGTTGGTTGGAATTCCAAGAGGTGCAATTCCATCTGCATGAGATGATCCCAAAGAACAGGATTCCTGATGGTGCTGGGCTGGTGTCCAGAGGACTCTGGGACTGGCATGAGTGGGATGGGAGCATGGCCTGTACCAGACTTGACTGTAGATGGGGAAGGCAGGAGATCTGGCTCTGTGCCAGGTAACCAGGGTTGTGTGGAGCACATCTGTCAGTGGGAACAACAGTGATACCAAGCTCAGCCCTCCAGCTTTGTGTTGCTGCAAGGTTTCATTCGCCTTTCAGTCTGCCCACAGCACTGCCTACAAAAGCTGTATGCTTTGCAGTACCAGCCTTGGGTGGTTCCCTCCTGTCATGTTAGTGCTTGTTTGCCAGAAAAGAGTTATCTCAACAGCTTCTCATAAACCTCCAAAAGGAGATTCCCATTAGAAGGAGTAGGAAGAAACCTGTCCACCACAACTGCACTTGACACTATGTGTTTTGCTATTACATTCCATTAATCTCAGACATGCCAGCTAGAGTTGGAAAGGCCAAGACTGGGAATGTCTGAACTGGTTACAAGGCAGTTGAATCTTTCCATGTCTGAGGGTGTAGTTAAAAATAGTACAAACATTTGAGTTAGAAGTTCACGCTAAAATCAACTGTAAAATGATTAATTCTGTAACATTTCAAACAGCTCTCATAAGGGTTCAAAGTCAAAATCCATTGGAAGTAAAGATGTCTCTTACTTCCTGGTGGTTTAGTTTTGTCCCAGGCTGCCTGAACATTGTGGAACAGCTCACAGTCAGTTTCTGTTTGTGGTGTTGTGGGGCCCTAATCATGTTCCCAAAGGATTCCTTGCAAATGAAAGCTTGTACTCGTGGAGTGCGAGTCTGCAGCGAGAGCAGCCTTCCCCACCTGTGTAATTGTGGAGCGTGCAGGGCCCTGCCTAGGAAGGAATGGTGTCAGGAAGCGATTAGTGTGGGGGTGGCACTGGTTTTGGTTGAGAGGGTGCTTTCAGTAAGGTACAACCTTGCTCAAGAACTCCTTCCTTCCACAGGTCTTTCACAAGATCATCACGAGCGGGCACCAGCGGCTGCAGCCTCTCTTCGACTGCCTGCTCACCATTGTAGTGAACGGTGAGCACTGTGGGGTGAGACCACAGCCTGCAGCAGGGACAGGGATGGCTGCTCTCACTCCCCTCTCTCTGCACCCCTGCCTGTGTCCCCTAACACTGACCAGTGCCCACTGCTGGAAGCTCATCCTTTCCAGTCTGTGCTGGAGGTGCCAGATGCAGATCCGGCCTGCTGCAGGGTCAGATGGGGCAGAGGCGGGGACAGCAGAGTCCTGGAGCCCATTTGGGGTGGCAGAAAGACATTTACCAGTACTCCTGGTGCGTTTGGCAGTGCTGTTCCTTTCCAGCAGGGAGTGCCACCTCCCCACGGTGGCAGTGGCTTCCCTTGGGCTGAGTGTCCAAGTGGCTTCAGTTGAGAAGCTTTTCAGGAGGCACAGCAGAGATGCCATTGCTAATGTAAAACTAAGCAAGACCCTCTAAAAGCAGCAGTGCCTCCCTTTACTAGGCAATATCTCCGTTTCCCTTCTTTGTATTTGGAAATGCTTCTGTGGAACCCTGTTGGGCTCAGCTTTCTCAGAGGCTTTCTCAGAAGTGCAGGGTAGGAAGATGATAAAACCAACATATTTAGTGGTATATCTTTGAGAATAAATACACCTTGGTTCTTTCTCCAGTTTTCATTTGTTTGCCTTCCACAGTGTCTCCATACCTGAAGTCTCTCTCCATGGTGGCTGCTAACAAGTTACTGCATCTCCTGGAGGCTTTTTCCACCACCTGGTTCCTGTTCTCTGCTGTCCAGAACCACCACCTCGTTTTCTTCTTGCTGGAAGTTTTCAACAACATCATTCAGTACCAGTTTGATGGTAAGAAAGTGACTGCTGTGTTTAGTAGGTTTGCACCAGTTTAGTCCAAGAGAACATGAGATGGAAGTTCAGAGAAAGTCCAAACAGATGAGGTGAGAAATGTAGAAATCAGCTA